TCATGCCTTCCGAAATCCACGCGTTTTGCCTTAAATCAGCCCTTTTTCCCCTCTGGAGCCGGCCGGAGGTGCTTCGAGCAGTCTGTCTGCTGGCACGCCCGGCTCGCCCAGGCCCGGCGAGCCCCATCCTTCCTCTTCCCCCCCTCCGAAAAGGCCACCGCCATCTGTGGCCTCGTGCACCCTGTGGCCCTGCCGCCGAGGGAGGTCGGTTTTGGTCAGGGACAGGCACCGCGAAAACCCCAGGGCGCTGATAGTGACAGTTGAGGCGTTCAGTGCCCCTTCGCTCACCTACTTCAGCTTCCAAGGGCTCAAAGACAGGAAAGGGGCCTTCCGCCCTGTAGACAGAAATACATCTACAGAGGCAAACTCCCCGGTGCACCCAACAGGCCCAACGGGAGAAGGTGTTTTCCCAGAGGTTAGAGCTATTCGTAGTCACGCCTCCTCACTTACACCCCTGGACTCTGAAATCCAGCTCAGCCCAGAGGCTGGTTCGAGGAGAAAGGGCTTCTGTACCCCAGCTCAGCAAACTCATGCTTTGGGCTGTATGACCAATTTTCATCTCAGCCCTCTTCTGCTCCCAGCCTCTGCTTTGTCAGGAACATCTGAAATCACGTTTCACTCATGATTTGAATGGGCTTGGGCATCTAATGGAGATCCCTGTGGAGTGGCACGGACACGTTACAGCGTGGGACCTGGCCTGGGACAACACCAACCGCGTCCCAAGGGTTCCCAGAGTGACTTTTAATTCTTCCCAGAGTGGGCTGAACTAAGGATTTAGAATGTCTAATCTTTTTTCGAGTCTCAACTTCCAGTAAATGACATGGGGCAGCGCCTCTTCCTCAATACACTTCAAATGTGCAAGGAGTGTAATTCCATATTCATTCCAAATGTGTGGAGATGTTAGCAAAAGCAGATCTTCATTTTATTTACATTTCTGCAAAAAACAAGTACAATAGAGAGTGTGAAAGGGTTTTTATTATTATTTCTTTAACAACATCAAGGACTTGTTGGGTATAAATCACAGCACTGAGAAATACTCTCTGCACATGCTATTGAAGTCTAGCAGCAGCAGAGGAATTTCAGGAATGAAAGTGTCATGTACGGTCCCTACATGATGGAAATGCTGATGTATTTGTAACACAAGAAATAGATATTTCATTTCTGAAAGACTGATTTTGCAACTAAACTGGACCTTGCTTTGCAAGACAGAGCTGGCCAGTTTGACGTTAAAGGAGAATAGCAAAACAAAATCTTGTGGCATCTATTTCTCTTTCAGGAAACACAAATGGCCTCATGAAGTTGGTTTTCCACCTAGAAAATGTGGTATGCTTTGGGAGCTCTTCGAGAGAGTTTCATGGGAAAAAGGAAAAGATAGGACGTCTTGACACAAAAGGCTCGAGTATGGAGGCTGGAAGCTGATTCTCATCACTCTTCCATCAGCAGAACAAGATGACTGTCTAGGGCTTAGGCTGGGAGTGGTGGGGATCAGCTGCCAATTTCTACCTCTGTGGCCTGATGAAAGTTTGCCACCGTCCTAAAGGAAAAACCGAGAGATGAGAGACTTCCTAAAACATTCTAGATGCTTAAAAAGCAGGAAAATTATGAACCTTAGGGCCTAAAGCCTAAGTAAAGTTATTACTACTGCAGAAAGTGGCAGAATGGCAGGCAGGATGGAAATAGAAGAAAATCTGTATTAGCAGTCACTGCTTCTTTAGGAGGCAAAACATTAGACTGCAAATGAACCTGTGAATATGCAGATTCATGAACCAAACTTCCTGTTATGCCTGGACTACAAGAGCTGCAAAGAGCTGTCACAACCTTAAGATACCAGTAACAGACAGGGAAGACCCTGTCATGGAAAGAGATATTTCTGGCCTGTGAAAAATCACCCCATCTCACAGTCACACTATTCAGACTGCCTGTTAGGGAGAGAACTTAGGTCCTTATGAGGCTCTCTCTATTCAGCATCTAGGAGTAGTTAACGGAACAAATGAACGTTATTTTTCTTTTGTGTTTCACCCTTGCATTAGAGCTTTTCCTCACAACATCGCACGCCTAAAGCGATGGACAGACTGAGCTGGATTCAGACTAGTGTGAAAAGTTTGCTGGCTGGGCGCTAGGATTTCTCTTGCTGCCCAGCTCTTTGATTTGAAGGAGGTCCAAAAGGTCTTGTGGGTTCCAGTTACCCTTTGGGGTCTTCATATATTGCAGTAAATCTGGCTTCTTTAACAGGATGAAGCCTTGCTCTTTTTCCATCGCGTCCAGCAGCTGCTTCATCAGGCTTGAAGTCTCGGCTCTGCTGATGCTGTTGTGGAGATCTGAGGGATCTCGGCTCTTCTGAGAATCCCCCATGGCATTTGAAAGCGAAATATCCCTGCTGCTGGCTGTGTGCACACTACCCAGGGCATTGTGGAGCCAGGTCAGGCGCTTCAGCCCTTGAAATGCCCTCCCTTTGTCATGCATGAGCTGATGCTCCGTCACTGCTCTTTTACTGCAACAGGAAGAAAGAGTTCCGTTAGGAAACAAGCACAGCCAGATCTAAGTTCATATTGCAAACATGGCTGATTTGCATCTATCACTCTTAGCTGCTCCTCAAAGCTGAGGAAGGAGCGTTGGTGGTGCCTGAACATCTTGTGGGGGACAGCCCTGAGGCCGTGTCCATGGCAAAGCTAGTAGTGTGGGAGCCCAGAGCTGGCATGGCCCTTGCAAAGCGCACAGACCCCAGATCAGCGTGTGAGCTCCTCCACACAGGTTAGCTCGGGGCAGCCTGCAAGGCAACCAGGTAGCCAGTTGTTGAAGAGGGGAAGCTGAAACACCATACATGCAGCTATTCCCAAAAGATACCTTGAATCCTCTTAAGACAAAACAAAACAAACAAAACAAACAAAAAAGCCAAATTTGGGCACAGAGTGGCAAAGTGACTTCAGCAGGCTTATAGAGCTCTGCAAATAGAAGTTTGGTCTTTACCCAGATTTGGGCAAATTTGCGGTGTTTTCAGAGCTCCAAATGCTGCAATAAAAATCTTTTTATGAACTTAATGTTCTAGGATTGTTGTGTTTGTTTCTTTCCTTCCAGAGCTGTAAGTCAGGAGTAATTTAACTTAAATCAGTGGTGTCCATGAAATGAAAACAAGCTTTTATTTTCTTAAGACATACCAAAACTTTTGATCCAAATATTGACGGGGGAGGGCAGGCTAATTCCAGAATATTTCTGGATTTGGGGCAGTTTAGAAACAGCTAACTCCAGCTATAGGCTCACACTGCAGATTTGGATCTGAATGGGAGAACCTAAATATGGAATTTCAGTATGTGACATTTCCATGACTTGCGTCGAGCATCTTTGCGTGGTTTGCTACGCTATATTTAAAAGCGTCAACTGAAATGCACCGAAGATGGTATAATTCTTGCACGTAAAATGCAATTGGCCTGATTCTGTACTGCATAAAGGGTGATGTAAAACGTTGTTCTATCAGATGTATGGAATCTTCCTTCAACTATGCCCTGGGGTACATGGCAGCAATGGGGAAGACAGCCCATTAAACCGAAAGCAAGCAGTCTTCTAATAATATTAAGGAAAAGGGTGATATTGCTTACTTTTCAGTGTCTTGAGATGTTGCAAAAGAGGAAAGAAAAAGAAGTGCCAAAAATGTAACCATCTTCAGAGATCTCTGAGGCAGGAACATTTTCTCTCTTCTTCTTTAAATCTGTTCGACAGGACAAGAAGTGGCCAGTATCACCAAAAATCTTTCTCTTTCTTTCACTTGACAAAATGAATTTCAGCCTATAAGCATTAGTAACAGTGGAGCAGTATACTATGGTATATCACCTCAGGACCTGTCAGAGCATCATTACAGCTTGTAGTGTGTATCAGTAAAAGATGAATATATTTCATAGTAAATTGCTACATTTCTTTACTGGGAGTCCTATATCTCCTTTTCCGCTATTGCTTGTTAAGGTATTACTTCCTGCTCTTGTGCATATGCCGGCGCAAGAGATTATTTTATTTGGAACTGATAAGACATCTTCCTGATAAAAACTTAGCAGAAATTTAACCAACAAAAAAAAAAATCAGGGTTGCTGCTTTAGAAATGTATTACAGACCTCAACAAGAGTTTAAGAGTGGACTCTGCAGTTTAAGTTAAAAGGTGGACCCAGTCCTGGCATTTGGACCTTTAATAATACAAGACTTTTACATCAGCAATACACATGATGTTACTGACATCCTGATCTGCCACAGCACACAAGAATGATATTTTTTTCCTGAAAAGAAATG